AAGCAACAAATAATGAATTTGTTTCAACATTAAATGTTATATTTATTCACATATAGAAATTAAAACATATATGTGTGTATGTTTTTAAAAAAAATTTCAGATAAAACTCTATGTAAGGCACAAATCTGTTTCTGTTCATGGAAAGGAATGTATCCTGCTGCAAATGCATCTATCAAGCATAAAAAGTTCGTAAGCTTAGATGCACCTTTTTATCCTTTCTATTTCTGTCATATTGAAAACTGAAGACATTCCTGGTTAATATCACTGGAATGTTAAGTAATTAGAAACTTTTTCCATTTAATACACTACGATTTGTATTTTAGTCTAAGCCCAAGAAGAATGTAGCCAAAATGTTTGAGTCATTAAACTATAATAATGGTCTATATTTAAGTACCAGCTCCAGCCTTTTTCATGTACTGGGTATTTTTTTTAGCAGTGGTCACAAACGTACTTCCTGTTTTGCATTGAGGTTGTACTGTATTTTGGGTCATGTCATGTATCAGACAGTGATTAGAACGTAATGTAAATTATGACCAAAGTAGAAAACATTTTGAAAGTGAACATTTCACATTACTGTACTCACATTATTGAGTGTGGGGCTTTGGTTCATAAATGGCTGGTGCAATTGCAATTTAATGGATTAACGTTTTATTACAGTCATCTCCTGTGCCTCAGTGCATAGTAATTTAGAAAGAGAAGAAAAATCTAATTAAGAGATTGCATCAAAATAATACAACTTCAAAATGTCCTATGAAACCGTTTAGGTTGAATGAGCTCCTTTCTGAAGTCCAATGGTAGAGGAAGTGCATATTTTGTTTTTGCTGCTGGTTTAAAGGCTTTGAACTATTAAGTTTGGCGTCCTCTTGATCACACTGAAAACGCGCACGTATGCCCATGGCTGCATTGTGGCACTTGCCATCTCTGCAGTTCCATTTGCACTGACCTCGTGATCCTTCTGTCCTCTCTGCCTTCATATTTACTGGTCTGCCTTCCTCAAGTACCCCACTGGTCCAGTCCATTACTGGTATAAGCATTTTTTTATTTGCTACACTCTATGGCAACATCACACTGTATCCTCCCCCACCACCACACTCCAAGTGGCGCACTCTACGGCATTAACCAGTCATGCTGGAGCCTTGATGGCCAAGCTATATCCCTCATTCCATCTGTAGCTGGCACTCTTGCATCACATTTGCTCTGCTTACTCCTTCCTCAAGTGCCTTTGCTCTATCCTCCTCTGCCTATTGCTGCTGTGCTTTCCACTCTTTTAGTGGCTTTACCCTTTTCCTCTCAAATTCATTTTATTCAAATCAATTATTTCCTCTTTTTGTGTGTTTTTGCTTTTCTGTACTTGCTTATCTTTTCCCTGTGGCGTCATTCTCCCTTAATTCCCTCCTGCTTCTTCGCCTCTCACTTCTTGTTTTCATATCTTCCTTTTAGTCTCCCAGAAACACTTCTATCATCAGCCGCCGTATCCAGCTCAGCTACATTTTTCGCATTATATCTTATTATTTCTATTTCTGTCTGCTCTTTTCTACTTAGATCTGCTGTCTTTTCTAGCCCCCATTTTTGTTTTGACCAAACTTCTCACTTTTGCTTGCTCACTAATAACTTCTTTCCAGCAATTTATCATGTTTTCCATTCCACTTGTATTTTCTTTCCTACATCCCAATTTTGTACCTCTCTATCTTCTTTCTGCTCTTACTTTCTTACTCTCCCATCCTATTCTTTCCCTCCCTCTCTAGGCTCTGCAAGCTGTGGGCAGCTACATCTTGCCTTGCTTCCTCTTTCAAATGACTTCATGATTGCTAATGACCCAGAGGAGGAAGGTATAGAGGCAAGGAGTGTTTCCCATGGAGACCCTTCAGTGGCTGGCTAGCTGATTGATGACCCTGTAGTCATGTTGACTGATTCATACAACAGAGCTTTTTATAGCACAGTGCAGCACACCTCATAGCGCAACATACTTTGATACTGAACAGTGTAGTGTGGCATACAATAAGCTCCATCCTGAGATATCATACAGTACAGCCAAGCTTACGACTGAATGCCATAACACAGCTTAATGCTTAATACAGTGCTTACATGTGTTCATACTTCTCACAGTCGAGCTAACCCATTTACACTGTTCATTTAGAAACAACATACTTTTTTGAACATTCCTCTTGAATGCTTTTTAGAGGCAATCAGGAAACTGTTGTCTGGCTTTGCATTTCTGTTATCAAAACAATTATGAGTAAACAACAGGAGTGGGAGACAAAGGCAGGTTGCCTGAGGTATGAGTCAGAGTACTAACAAATGGTCAGTATAGTATGAATTGGTCATGTTAAATGTGAAGTTTAGATGAATCATCCTGCTCTCTCACTTTTTCTTTCCCCTCTCCTGCAGCGTGGCGCTCTTATTATTTCAGTCCACCTTGTTTGATGCAGCTCAGCACGCAACAGAAAACATAGTTTGCACTACAGACGCATACTGTTCATGGACAAATACAGACGTGGATGTCTCATCTATCGCATGCCATTTTTGCACTTGCAGAAAATGCTAAATATTTGAAATGTAGGCTGACCCATCAGTGGACATTGTAAGGATGGGTATGGGGTTGCAAGAGCTGCAACTGATTTTGATCATGTCTGATTTTTGTTTAAGGGACCAGTTGTCACAGCCCTGGGTACACCTCTGTAGTTAATTTTTTTACCATAAGTTGCCAACAGTTGATAGAGTATAGTATAATTCTTTTTGGGATAATGACAAAACTGATGCATTTGTGAGGACACATGTGCCACGTGCGCTGTTTTTGTAGCCTCCATAAAATACTGCATGTTCCCATGTAAATCCAGAGTCCATGAAAGACTAGGCACATGTACCCATGCCTGTATCTGAGCTTAAAGGTATGGTCTTACTGTATTGCTGTCTGTAGGTAGATTAAACTTGACTTTCTCCTAATCTGTCTGTAAGGCCTTTACTACCTTTTAATGCCAGATGTCTATGGACCCTAAAATTGCACACGGATTCCAGTCTGCTGCCTCTAAATATGTTTTTCAGGGAGAAACATTTTATGGTTTCTTTATTTCTATAGTTAAATAATGTTTCCTGTTGATATATTTTTGTGCCTCTGCCCATTTTTTCAGTGCCAATTTTATTCATCTCAGCCTTGTAGTGTAACACAGTGGACATTTAAATTATACATTTAGAGCAAATGCTGTCTCTGTCTCTGCAACATTTGACATGTTTCCAAACGAAATTTTCTTTAAAATAGCAAAATGTAAAAAACAAACACTTATTGCACAATATGCTCCCTCTCCGTCTTCAGCTGTCTTTTTTTAGCCTCCATCTCATACACTATCTCACTTTCTCCTTCTTTCTATCACTTCATAATTTGTCAAAGCTGAACTGTCACCCTCACAAACACGCATCATTTTCCTCTTCTGACAGCATCTCAGGTTAAGTACATCACAAGCTCTCAGCTAACTGCTGCACTTATGTTGTGATGGGCCATGTCAACTTCTCTGTCCGTTTAGTTCAAACACTCTCCCCTGTTTAATTCCTCTGCCTTAAATGTTGAAATGCTACAATGTTAGTGAGACAAATCCTGATTGCAGGTGCTCCTCCTACCCAGCTCTTCATTTACCATAGTTCATACTGGTTATTTAAACTGGCGTTGTCAACTGCTCTACAAGACTAAAGCTTAAAAATGTTCTTGTGTTCTTCGCTGATATGTGCTACCATAGTGAGGTATACCAGGGTATAATAAACCAGTTTGTTTGACACATTGCCTGCCATTAAGTAAGAGAGTTGCGTTAGAAAGAATGGCAACAGCACTCCGTGTTCTTCAGTTCCACATGCCGTCATTTTCAAAAACAAAGTGGCTCACCTGTCCGATACACACCTACTAACCACAGTGTATTTTGTATGTCATATTTCTCTGTTAAGGAGGGAACTGTGAGGCTATATGATTGAGAGGAGTGATACTGTCGAAGATGAAAAATGCACAGTTAACAGCAAGACCCAAATGAATTTGTCACCATAAAAAGCCCCCATAGTGATTGATGAAGGCACAACAGCTGGCAATGCAGTGACAAATGAAATGAGGATTTCTTTTTTTTTTTTTTTTTTGGCTAAGTGCAAGACATCCTTAATTCCCAAACAGTATATCACCTTAATTCATCACCATTTTCACTCATTAGATACATGCTAAATAATACCAGTTTGTAATGGTGAATCTGAGCTAGGTAACACATTCAGAATGCATCACTGAAAAGCATTATATAATAACCATTTGAACTGAAAAATTTGATGTTAGGATAGTAGTGCTGTACTTGTCAATTGACACATCATTACAGCTTTTAAAAATCTTAAACCTAGATGCTTTTAATCAGTCATACATTTGATGACACACCATTCCATGTGGCTTAAATAAAAACGGTTCTTTCTTGTGAATAATAAAATGCGATGTTAAGGAGTTTAAAGAAAAGCACCATCCACTTCTGCACTGTGAATTCATTCAGCACTTGTATGGTTAAAGTATAGCTGCAGCGTCTTACTGCAGTGTCTAAAGCATTTGGCTGATCGTTACTGTATACACCAGGAGAGGAGAAGGGGGAAAAAACATCTCTCTCTAATACTTTTCTTTTTTCTTCCAAAAATCCTTTTTATTGCATTTATAACATTTGGCACAGTACAAATTCTTGGTGCTTTTACAAGATAAACCTCTAAAGATCGACAGTGACCTTTTTATGGTTTTTATTAAAGAAAGTCTCTTCTATATAAATATTTTTTCTCATCACTGCATTCTCTGTAGCGTGGTGTAAAAATCACACAGAATGCCCCTTTTTTCAAACAAGACTACCCTCATTTGTCAAAGTCAAGACAGCATCTTAAACAACTCAGTTTTAAATAGAAGTTACAAGTTAGAAAATAGTTTCAATTTCTTTTTAATATATGTTTCTCTATCACCAGCCCATGGTATTTTCAATTTG